GGGCGCGGGGCGCGCCAGCCCGGGGACAGCTCGCTCACCCGCTGTGCTCTCCCCGCAGGGACGCCCGTCGTCACCGAGCTGCGCTGCCAGTGCCTGCAGACCTTGCAGGGCATTCACCTCAAGAACATCCAGAGTGTCAAGGTGACGCCGTCGGGACCCCACTGCGCCCAGACCGAAGTCATGTAAGTGACGCCCCGCGGCGCTGCTGCCGCTGCCCTTTGTCGCCCCCGCCGCCCCCATGCCCCCTACCCCGCCGCGCGGCCCGGCCTCCTGCCAACGGGCATCCTGCCTTCTCTCTGCAGAGCCACGCTCAAGAATGGACAGGAAGTGTGTCTCAACCCCGAAGCCCCCCTGGTCAAGAAGATCATCGATAAGATGCTGAACAAGTGAGTTATGCTTTCTATTCACACGTGCGACTAGAGTCACTGGTCACAGAGACAGGCACGTGCCTCCGGAAGATTTTATCAAGGAAACCTAGGTTTAGCTGAAGGACTGAAAACTCGTTACTATTTCACAATTAAATTTGCTACTGAGGTATTAAGCTTCTCCTATGCCAGAAGGCTATTTCCAGCGCCCTCTCTCCCCGTGCAAACGAGTGTGGGTAAACCTGCTTTTATTACCGTTCTAATTGGTGTTGGTCAGTTACATTAAAAAGCTTTCCACCTGTTAAAAAATCATAGGCATCACCCTCCCCCTCACCCCCATTCCTTCCTGGCTTCACATCTGCAAAGCAGATCCTTGTTCTTCAACATAGGCTCTAAAGCTTAGAGGTGAAGAGCAGGCGCTTTGCAGTGACACTGTACTGGGACCCACTCTGGATTCTATCACCTATTAGCCATGTGACTCAAGGAGGAGGAGGAGGAGGAGGAAGAGGAGGCAGATGATAATGATGATGAATCTAAAGCTTCTCTAAGCCCAGGAAAACAGTAGTAGCTACCGTATGGGGTTGCTGTGAGGCTGAAGGGAGGCCCAGTGTGACAGAATAACACGTTCTGGCTGTTTGTAGCCAGTATTTCAGGCTCCCTACGTCCTCAGGCTCCCCCTACATCCCTAAGTAAAAGCATCCAAAGAAGTAGCCTTTGGATGCCAGGCCGGGGAAACTGGATTCAAAAAACTTTAGAAGCTCAGGGTGGGGACAGGAGAAGAGTGCTGTGCAGCCAGCCTTCCTGAGCAGTACTAAGGATGACATTTTTCTCATTGTTGCGCAGCTCCAACTGACCAGAGGAAGGTGGAAGCTGATCCGTGGCGGTACCTGAATTAGGCTTTGCCCTTACAGGAGTCAAAGAGGAAACAGTGAAATCATCAGCTTTGATTGGGTCTCATATGTTTTGAGCATCTCTTAGGAGAAGCCTCCTATTTATTTATTTATTTATTGGTTGGTTGGTTTTCAAAGATTCTACGCTAATATTTTACATATAATGTAATTAGGATGTGACCGAATCTATTTGTGCACTGTGCTGTTATTTTTATGGTTTATTTTATGTTAAACCCAGCTTAGTTCAACCCCAATTCTTATTTACTCTGAAGGTAGAAGGTTTGCAAATATTCTCCAGTCATTAAATTAATACTTCTGGGGAGCTCACAGCATTACCAGCCGCTGTGACAGGGGCTGGGGGATATAAGGAGAGAGTGAGGTCATTATCAGGTGGGGGGGATGCATGTGTACAACTATTTTTGTAATTGTTTAAAAGAATGGCTGTTACTATTTATTGAAATGATTTCACAGTATGTGGTCAACATTTCTCATGTTGAAGCTTTAGGAACTAGTGTTCTAAATACCCTTTGGACATTTTGTGTCTTTCCTGTAAGGCATAATGCCTTGTTTAGTGTTTACTGTTCAAAATTCAGTGTTTCTCTGTGTCTTATAACAGAGAGGCTCACATATTTATCGCTGTTTTTGAAAAGAACTTGAAAATAAAGTATTTCAAACTACAAAAAAATGTTTGTTTCATTTAGGGGCAAAAAGTCTATCTTTACTGGATAATCTGGTGATTTACATCAATATTTGTCCACGGTTTTTAAAATTGTTTTTCCTCCTGGGCATTCAATTTGCTACACAGATAAACTATAATTTATGCTTGACTTTATCTGATGATAGCTGTCACTCCCCTTGGGTTTGATTTACCCAGGAAGGAATGTGCTTTTCCCAAGTATGGGCTTTCCTCTGCCCCTCAGGGCAAGAGTCATGGCTGTTTATTGCCATTTGGTATAAAGAGCTCCTCTCTACCCTGCTACTCAATTTTGTCTCCTCAAAAACACTTATATTCTTATAGCAATCTTAATAAGGACTCTCATTTCATTGCTTTTGCTAAATGAGTCTTCAAACGATTATTGACAATTTAATGAAGCTGGCAGTGAAATGGCAGTAAAGTGAGTTTTTTCTTCAACCCTGAAATAAGTTGTGTCACCAGTAGAAGTACAAAATGTGAATGGCTGAGTACTTCATCTACAAAGAGATCTAACTGACATTTGGGTTCAATTTTCTAACCTTCATTTATAAGTAGCAGACACTGGGGTGCCTGGGTGGGTCAGTCAGTTGAGATCCCAACTCTTGATTTTGGCTCAGGTCATAAACTCGGGGTGGTGGAATCTGGCTCCACACTGAACGTAAAGTCTGCTTAAGTCTCCCTTTCTCTCTCTCAAAAAAAAAAAAAAAAAACCCAAAAACAAACAAAAAACAAAAAACAACCACATATATATGTAACCGCCACAGAGTTTAATGTTACTCCAATTCTTTATGTCAATTTATCAAATAGTTTTAAGGTCTTAGTGCATTAGCTCCCACCCTTCCTAGGGCAATTTTTATGGAACCTGATAGATGGTTTAGTCTGAGGAAGCCCTTTGGAACCTGGTATTCAACACTGCCGCAGGATGACAAGCACTTGACGTTTCACAAACAAAATTTGTATGTAAAAAGAGGAAGGGTCCCTAGGATCTGACACCACACTCCAAACCAGGTAAGGAAGAATGTCTGTGAATGTGTGCGGTGTGCTTGTCTCTGACTCAGGACTCATTCAGGAAATACTGAGCCCTAGGTAAAAGTCTTCAGCAGAGGGCTGGCAGCCTTCATTCCTGAGATCAGGTTATGGTTTGCCGACGTAGCTGGGTAATAAAGATTCTAAGTAGCAAGAGACAACCACTGTGAGCTTTTTTTCATAAAGTTAAGAATGGTAACTTCTTTATAACTCCTATGTTATTAGTTATCACAATGAGATAAGAAGGAAGAAAATTTGTGAATGGTACAGAAGAAAATACAGTAAAAGCTGGGATTGCCAGTAACTTGTTCTGCGAGTATTCTGCAAAAGGAGCAAATGTTAACCCAATAAATAAGCCATGTCTTGCAATACGAGTAGTACGTGATGCTGAACGCCACATGATCACAATTGAGACAATGGTTCTTCTCTGTCTCTCTCTCACTGTGGGATTGTAGGTGATTGTCTTCCATGCTAGGATGCTCATTCTCAGGCTGTGGTGTTTGGCAGAAATCAGTGATTTTTCAAAACGTTGGAAAGTGCCAACAGCTGGCACTGGTGTGTTTTTTGTCACTTCAAAGCACCTATGGACAGTCTGTTGCTTTTCCATACAAGAGTAAGCTTAGGAATGCTTTGACTCAGTCGAGGTCAGGCTGCCTGCAGAAAAAGACCCTTTCCTCTGCTGCTTTACTGCCAGTTACATTAAATACAGTATATGACAGGAGTGTATTAATACTGTACTGTAGTCAACATCCGTTAGTGATAGTGAAAGTGATCCTACATAATAACCCTCCTCTCTCTTTTCTCCCTCACACCAGCCACGAATGTTTTCAAAGTAAATGCAGGCTAATTTTCTTATTTTTCTTCATGTTTTGTACTTTCTTTGTTATTTGTATTATATTACAGTATTATAATCCGTTTTGTATAAGTGTTTTGGGGTTTGGAATGACTCACCTGAGTTTCTATTATTTCTTATGGGGATATTTGCTTTGATATATAAGTGCTTTGAATTACAACCATGTTTCCAGAATAAATTATGCTTACAAACCAAGGTTTTACTGTAAATGTAAGCCATTATTGAAGTTCTACAAATGCTAGCATTTACTCCCTTACCCCAGGTCAAGGGACATTGGAAATTATTTATAAGTGGGACCCCAAGGGCTCAATAAAGTCCTCACACCCAAGATCAGGTTTTACATTCAAACACTGGCTCGAGCTTGCTCTACTGGCCACTGAGCTTTTGTCAATATGGAACATTCAACATAGAAAGGAGAAAGGAGATGTTCTGTTCACGTGGTGGTTAAGGACATAGGTTCCAAAGAATTGGGGAAAATTTGGATAAATTCCAGCTCTGTCACTTGTTGACTGCCATCTTGGGCATGTTTCTTGACTTCACTCAGTCTCATATCCCTTGCTACAGAATGAAGGTAAAGAAGAATACACTTTCTGAAGTTTTTGCAGGGATTAAGCATCATCGGTGGCTGCAGAAATCTGCCATTGGTCCTCAGACCAATGCAGTGGACATCATCTCAGTGTCTGTCCTCGATCAAGTGGATTTGTACTATGCTTTTCCCACCAAATCGACCTGAGGCTTTGCAAGTACAAGGCAGACTCCCATTAAGAGCGTCATGGCAGGAAATGGGACACAAGGAGTGTGAGGTGGTGGTCATGAGGTTAAGTAGGAAAAGAATGCTGAGTGACACATCACAACTTTGAAAGATCATCAGCAGGAAATAACCATGGCACCATTGACTAAAGTTTCTTGAGCAATGTTCCCAATGAGCTAAAACCCAGAAAGGAGTCATTATGTCATTATGAGTCTTTCTTTTTTTTTTTTTTTAATATTTTAATTTTTTTTTTATTTCTAGGAGAGAGAGAGAGAGAGAGAGAGAGAGACAGCGTGAGCAGGGGAGGGTCAGAGAGAGAGGGAGATACAGACTCTGAAATAGGCTCCAGGCTCTGAGCTGGCAGTCAGCACAGAGCCCGATGCGGGGCTCGAACCCACGAACCTCGAGATCATGACCTAAGCGAAAGTCGGACGCCTAACCGACTAAGCCACCCAGGCGCCCGCATTATGAGTCTTTCTTGAGAATGCAATGGAGATGTCCTCTCAGGATTTCCAGAAGTAACTGGAAAGACATTGGGGAATGGCAGAAGGGGCAAACCTGCAACAGCATAATGGGGGCAATCCAGAATAACAGATGGTACCGTTTCTCTTTTTTTCCTAACTACCCACACAAATAATAAGGGTAAGGTCTTATTTTATCTTCGCCATTGATGCCCCAGTTCATATTTCCTTTACCTGTGAGTTGCACGGTTGCAGTGGGTAGCATCTATACTTGGAGTCAGCTTCCCAGCTCAGGCCCCCTGTCCTCTGATCCTCTTCCTGAGGGCTCTCTCCATACGGGTGTGGGGAGGGGAGCATGGCAGCGAGAGTTTTCTCAGCTCAGAGGCAGGGTGGCCTGTGATTAAAGCCCTAAGAGGCCACCCTCATCGAGGGGCAGGAGTTAGTGAATGAATATTCTATTTTCCAGTCCCTTGGTTGGACAATTCTGGAAAATCCACTATATAAATATGTTTTTATAAGGAGTTCCTTTCTACCTTGCTACTCAACTCTATCTTCTCAAGAACATTTATATTCTTATAACTATCCTAGCAAGGACTCTCATTTCATTGCTTTGCTCAATGATTTAATTATAAATATATATATATGCTTTCCACTTCTCTCTTCATATGTTCACATTCTCCCTTAAACCCTTGAGCATAATTGTAATAGCTAGTTTAAAATCCTTGTCTATTAATTCTTTTCTTACTTTTATTAGAAGAATTTTTTTAAGTTTATTTGTTTTGAGAGAGAGAATGAGTGGGAGAGGGGCAGAGAGAGAGGGAGAGAGAATTCTAAGCAGGCTCCATACTATCAGTGCAGAGCCTGATATGGGGCTTGAACTCACAAACCATGAGATTATGCCCTGAGCTGAAACCAAGAGTCAGAAGCTTAACTGACTGAGCCAAACAGGTGCCCCAAACCCTTGTCTACTAATTCTATCATTGTGTCATTTTTATTTCTGTTGAGTGATCTCCACCCCCCCACCCCCCACACACATCCCATTATGGACCGTGTTTTTCTTCCTGGCATGTTTAGTAATTTTTGATTGGATGCAGAAAATTTTGAACCCTATGTTGTTAAGTGTCAAGATTTTGTTTTCTTCCTTTCCAATCTTGGTCTCTGCTATTACAGACAGTTAAGTTATCAGAGAATCAGCTTGATATTTTTGAGGCTTGTTCTTAAGCTTTATTAGGGTGGTCTAGAGAGAGTTCTTTGCCCCAAGGCTTGTTTAGTTGTACTGCTAAGTCATGCCCTTTCTGTGCCTCTGCCAAACGCCCTGAGTGCTCATAAGGTCCCTCCACTCTAACAAGTCAGAATGCAAGTATCTCCCCAACCCATGTGGTCTAAAAATTGGTCAGCTTCTAGATCTCTGGCTCTTCTCTTCTTGATCCAGTGGAGTTTCACCATATGCACGTGTGACTTAGTATTGATCATAGAGACCCAATGGAACCCCAGTGCAGACTTCCAGAGCTCTGTTTTCCTGAATGCATCTCTCCTTTCTTCAACCCTACTCACTTGTAGTCACCTCAGTTTCCCTGAATTCAAGTCTGTGTCTCCTAAACTCAGCAAAACCACTGTGCTCTGCTTGGGCTCTCCCTCCCTGAACAGTGGTCCAGAATTGCTCCAGCAAAAAACCCAGGGTGATTATGAACTTGACCCTTCTTTGTTTCCTTTTCTCAAGGATCCTAGTCTCCTGTTGGTTATTGTCCAATGTCTGGAAGCAGTTGTTCAATGTGTTCTGTTGAGTTCTCTAGTTGTTTATGGCAGGAAGTTAGGACTGTTCCCTTTTAGATGGCTGGAAATGAAAGTCTTGGTGGCACAATTCTGAGGAACATTTTACAAGATTTCTCAG